TTTTTAAATCTTGTTAGTTTGCAATAATTAAATTATGATTACAGTATGTTATTCTTGAATTAATGTTACACTCTTCACAATTTTTTCAATAAGAAATAATTTAACACTATCGAGTAGCAATTTTTTTTGCTAAGGCGAGTCATCTATCCCTGACTTACCCTATACACTGCTTTCGCAGAAAGTAAACCGCTTAAAGATTTACTAATCGTCTGCCAAACAGTTGCCGAGGAGTGGTTGATATTTGGCTGAATTTCTGCTTTAAATTTTTCTAAGGTGCGAAGAACTTCTTGATAACTTAATGCGGATTTTTTCGGCATCTAAAAGATAGGTATAATATAATCCATCAGTCAATGAAGAACGAACGGACGGGCGGAAAAAGTCAACACACTGTTTTTAATTTATAAAATATGTTAAAAATGAAGCGAATTAAGCATACACGTGTTATTGAAATGATTGATTAAACAAATTAAATATGTATAATAAATTACGGAAAATGGCAAACATATAATTCTTTTAAAATTTTTTAACATTTATATTACTACCAATATACCTAACGCTACAATATACTTTAATTGTGGATACCCTTAATAAACAAACAGACGCAAGAACTGTCTACCGCCGCATGTCTGAACGGAATCACTCACGACCCGTTGACAACTAGATTTGCTAAATAGGTAGGCCTACCTTTCTGATGCCGGCGCCGTGTATCACAGTTTCTTCGGTGTTCCGCTGTTGGTGATGGTTCTCTGGTATCCTCAGATACCTTCACCCGCACTGTCGCAAAACCACTCGTTTCAATGCCACACACGTGCACTTTAATTCGCACTCTCCACAAGTTACCAGAAACCGCTGTATTCTGGTGCGGTTTTTTCTTTTCTTCAAAGAAAAAAAAAGGGTCGGCCAAATGGCGTGGATCAACTGACGAGCAATATTACTCACTTGCCATAACATAAAAAATTTTAATAATATTAATTATAAGGATTAGCAATAATAATTAGCGAATTAATGAAGCGTACAGGTAAGCTACTTTCTTAATTTACGATTCTAGGGGTCTATATTTACGCAATCCGGTCAATACGTCTTGTATGACGGATAAGCTGCGTGTAGAGATATTCTTGGTGTGTTTCCTTAGAAGGTGGCATTCAATTTGCGACGATGGTGGTTATCAAGCGGGGGCCGTTTACCTCGCGTGGTCATCGCGGGAACGGGATGTTTATTGTGTTCACCATTGGCCCTGGTTAGTGCCCTTGGCGTTGACAATTATTGGTCTCGGAAGCGTATTGGAAATTCCAAATATAGCAGTAACAAAAAATCCTTGGAAAAGCCCACCTAGAGATACACCGAATATTAGTATTAAACAAAACGTAATGTATATATCGCTCCCTGGTCAAGACAAGAAAGAAAATTGACGCGCGCCGTTGGTGGGCAGTACTCCTTTTGTCCATGCGGTGTTGTTGCTCCGCTGGCCGGTCAATATCTGCACACGCAGAGATAAGACGATGGTATGTGACCTAAAGGTCAAACGGCGGATAATTCGCGATATAGTGTGCGGTAACACGTGGATCCGACAAGGCCGCAATTAGAAAGCAATTTTTGCGTAAAATAATTAATATTAGAGCCGTTTTACACTGTTGTAAATTTGATGTTGAAATTTACATAAATTTAATATGAAAATTTGACTTCATTGCATACAACTAATTAGATGTAAAAATTACTTGTCAAAAGTTGACAACAAATATTTAGAACATGTTGTAAAATACTAGTCAAATATGCGCGTAAAGCTGCGCACACGTATTATTAAGGTTTGCAGTGAACGCCCCAAAAACCTAACCTTAATTTAAATTGAACTGTACCTTTGTGAGTCGTCTTGTTTGACGTTTCTAGTTTTTATTTTCATAAAGACGTGATAACATTTATGAAAAATGTCGTGGTCTCCACAGCAAGTTGAGTTGCTGATAGACGAATATAAAAAACATTCATGTTTATACGCAGTGAAATCCACCATGTATAAAAACAAACACGCAAGAAATAAAGCACTAACGGACATTCAAGAAGCAGTAAAACTTCTAAGACCAAATGTAACGATTGAGGAAATAAAGTGTAAATTTCACGGTCAACGGAATACCTTTGTAACTGAATATAGAAAGCATCGACAGTCACTCAAATCGGAAGTGGGTGAAAATGATGTAATTTAAATTCTATCATCTACATTATGAGTTATCTTTTCTTACAGGTCTACACACCATCTATTTGGTATTATAAGCAAATGGAATTTATTTTAGAACACACAGCTGTACGTAAGAGTAAGGATTGCTTGAGACACAGGAAACGCAACAATTAGATAACTTTGCAGTTGATTCTCTTGATACATTTGTAACAAATGAATCACAAGTTATAGGGGTAATATAAAAAACAACCTAATCTATAAAACACTAACTATTGTTTTAAGAGCGAAGGCGAAGAGCAAGAAGTGTGCGAGTATGAGGTGCAAGATGATTACACTTTAAAAGTCGTTACATCTCCACATTGTGTAGAATCATCAGGAAACACAACTCCAACAACTGATTACAGTAAAAAAGAACCAGCACATTCAAGTCAAAAAAACGGCAAAGAAAGCAAGAAACTGACTTTGTAGAAGAAGATGTTTTTAAAGGGGCCACAGATGCATTACAACAAATTTCTGTAGCTATGGGTAATTCAAAATCCATTACGCCTATATGCACTGTTAACCATTTTGACTTAGTTGGTCAATTTGTAGCATCAAGATTAAAAGAAATGGAGAAAAACAAAGCAGCAGAAATTGAAAAAAAGATAATGTTATTATTATATACTGAATAGTTTTAAGTTCTTACATAAGTTTTTATATATCATTACTTTATAAGAAAATAAACTTCATCTACATATTGTTAACGATTTACTTGTTCATGCTGCCACTCCCTTGCGCCTGTAGTGTTAAAAAAATCTTTTAATTCATCTCTAATACTTCTTGCATTACTACTATTCCTGTTACCATGATGCCCGGCAATGTGCAATAATGTATCCATATTTTGTGCATCTGCCAATATGTCACAATATGCTACTCTATTTTCTGTGACCAATAAATTATGTAGTACAACACAACATAGTGTAATAACTTCCACTTTCTCGGGAGATAAATTGATTGGATTAAGCAACACTCTAAACCGGTTTGCCAAAATCCCAAATGTGCTCTCTATCATGCGTCGAGCTCTTGACAACCGATAATTATAAATTTTGCAATCATAAGAAAGACCTCTTTGACTATACGGTTTCATTATGTGTGTCATTAAAGGAAAGGCATCATCAGCTATTATAACATACGGTATGCTAGTGCTACGTCCAGGTAATGGGCTTGATGGTGGAAAATGTAAAGCATTTTTAAGTAAAGCTTCCCACAGTTTACTTTCTCTTAAAAGTCCACCATCACTCACCCTGCCATTTACACCAACATTTACGTATGTAAATTTGTAACATGCATCTGACAACCCTAACAATACAATGCTATGATCCCCTTTATAATTAAAATAAAAAGATCCTGCAGATTGTGGTGGTCGAAACTTGATATGTCGGCCATCCAGAGCTCCTAAACAATGAGGAAAATCCCATAAGTCATAAAATTCTTCTGCTATTTTTTGCCATTCTTGTACTGTATTTGGCACCTAAGATTTGAACATTAATCTTATATTAAATTTATAACAATTGTGCTTGCCTTCAAATAGGTTGTTTTTAAATGTGTATAAATAACATTGCAAACTTCGGGAATAATTCTTGATATCGTACTTTCATGGATACGAGTAGCGTACATCAATGATCGATAGGTTTCACCTGTTGCTAAAAATCGCAACGTGATCTCCAACCTGCAAATTAAGTGTAAGTGCTTTATGCATGAATTACCCCTTAAATGTACCTGCTGCGAGCTGAAATGCTGTCACGCATGAAGGTGTCCTGTTTTGATATTTTTTGATTAATTTCACTCAAAAGTTTTTCGAATAATTTGTTATTTAACCTCAAAAAATTGCAATAGCAAGAAGGATCTTCGGTCAGTAGTTCTTCGTTTAACATATTTAGCATTCCTCTGCCTTGGTTATGTCTCTGTAACCATTTCTTTGCCCAAATTCTTCGTTTCTTTTTCATTATCCTTTGCCTTCGTCTTCGATTTACAATAACTAAAGTTAACGTACAAATAACTGCAGCAGCTGCACAACGTAAAACAATAGTTCTGTCCATTTCTTCAAATCACTCAGACAATGAAAGACGGCTTTTATAATCGGTCTTTCATTAATTTTGGAGGTTATAATCATATTGACACTTTTAGCAGCTGCTTGTTGTTGCAATGCGCACGCGTTTATGGTAAATTTGGCGCAATTTTTATCATTTGTTGCAAATGGTACCCGTGTAGGAGCAATAAATATCGGTACGATTTTGTTACAAAATTTTACTCAAAATCTATTTGTCAAATTTGACGTCAAATTTACAACAGTGTCAAACGGCTCTTAGATGTTGGATTTCGTGCTATTTACCTTGTCGGATCGAGACGATGAAAGTTTTGCACTAAGTTACCGCGAAACGCGCGCGTACAAGTCTCACTAGGTCCCACGTGTACCGCACTACCGCTAAATGTGTTGTTGCTTCTTATCTTGCCGGCCAGCGATCACCCCTGAACGGGAGCGGAGGTTGCACTTTTATAAAAATAAAGGGGGTTTTGTGAACCCCCAAACTACTATTCTTGATATCACTTATAATTGGCAGAGAGCACGAAGCAGCGCGTCCTCTCTGAACGTTGACATTCAGAGCACACATATCAGGGGAGGTTTTACCTATACGTTGAAGATTTACATTATTTATCACCCTTTTTTGTGTGTGAATTACAGTGGAAAAAGATACTGGGGCATCACAAATCATAAGTTGGGGGGGGGGGGCAACAATAATAACGGTTGAGATTTAACTGCTTTATTTATTATTCAGTAAAAACATGCATGAAATATTCTGTTTCAGTTTTATATCTCTCTCCTCCGCGCTTGCTGCTTCCAGTTCCGAGACCAACTGCTCCAAGCGGATTCTAGCACTTATGCCTTTGGCCTCGTACACTGGTACCAGCTTCAGCAGACGGGCATATGTCGCTTCGGCCACTTGCTTTGGAGTTGCTGGTGACCCCCATGGCCCAGTGATCAGTCTGCGGGTATTGAGCGCTGCCTACCCCACAGACCTGCATCATATTTTGCAGACTTTCCCCCTGGACTTTTTATAATCCTCATCGTTGTGGTGCTGCAGAGAGAGAGAGAAGCGGCATTATAATTGTATTTAAGAAAGATTTTGGTTAACTTACTATTCACTGATTTTGCAACGGTGGAGGCGGTGTCTGCTGTTGGAGGCGATGGTGACCTTACTAACGGCGCATACACCCTGTAACGAAATCAATCACTTACAAACATGTTCTTTGTTTAAATTAGAAATAAAATTTACCTGGTTTGTGTCGGCTGGGTACCACCTTCTAGCTCCTCCAACAGCTTCGCCAATTGGTCCTCCACCACTGGTTCCGTACTATAGGCAAACATGTAATATTAGCACGAGAGAGAGAACCGGAAACTTTTTTGATAGTAATTAAGAAACATAATAAAAAAGGGGAATATTTACGGTAATTTAGTTACTTGTGTCCCTCCAATCTCGTCGTCCGAGTTAATTGTAATTATTGAATAGTGGTCATCTAAACAAGTGATGGAAATACCGGTTACATGTTTGTCGCGTTATTTTTGGAGCAGTTACAAAAAAATACCGCTACAAAATACCGCGATTATGGAACGACTTTTTAACAAGACAGTACAACACAATCAACACATATAACTCGCAGAAAATCGCGGTCCATTAGTACCGTATTCGTAATTTCGTATACGTATACCTACCTACCGCTACCAGACTACCACTTACTTTACATGAAGCGATTGGAATTCTTTTCTTTTATTCTTTAGATTACCTGCCGGTCTAATTATCTGGATGTAATGAGTAGCTAGTCGTTAATTATTTACCTACTCCGACATAAATATAGAAAAATATACCTGATTATAAGATAATAATGCGGAATACTTCAATTGTATGGTTACGTTCTTGAGATCAGAAGCGGTGCCGAAAAATGAATAATTTCTGTAGCAACTAGCATTTAGACAAAGAAAACAGAGCGCTTGATCTACAAAGGCGGTGCTTTTGTTTGAACCTGACACGTTGACTGTATATTGCTGTCTATAAAATAATATTGTTGCATTGTTGCAAATACTGAAAATAGCCATCTTTATTCAATATATTCCTAACGAATTTCCATTTGTCAATTAATGAGTTTACTCAGTTCGTTTCCGTCCTGTTAACTGTTTGTACTTACCTGCGTAGATCGCGTTCGAACATTGAATTTTTTATTATTGTGTATCAATGAATACTGTATAGTGTTATCGAATATACGTCTTAGTTTGTATTTTTGTTCGTTTATTTTCAAGTGAAATTCTTTCTTTATATCTACTCCATACGATGCCGCGAAAGCCTTCGGTAAAATCTTCCGAAATTTGGAACTTTTTTCAACACGAAGATGTTGCAATATGTAAAGGGGCTGACACTGACAACCGACTGCTGGACTTCGTCTACTGCAGAAAATTATTTAGCTGTAACTGCTCATTTTATTGACGGTGAATTCGTATTGAGACATGTAGTCCTAGGATGTGAAGTTTTTGGAGAAAGGCATACTAGCCAAAATTTAGCAGCAGCAATAAAGAAAATTATTCTGGAGTGGAATTTGGAAAATAAAATTAATATAATAATTTCGGACAATGCCGCTAATATAAAGAAAGCAATTCAAGACGAGTTGCGGTTTAAACACTTTGGTTGTTACGCGCATACGATAAACTTAATTGCACAAGATGCACTCAAACCTTCTCTTCCGGTACTAAGTAAGGTAAAAGACATTGTCTCTTATTTTAGGAGAAGTACTCACGCTGCAAATAAATTATGCGAGCAACAACAAAATTTAGAAATGGAACCTACCAAGCGCCTAATACAAGAAGTGCCTACGCGGTGGAATTCAACCTTTTACATGGTGGAAAGGTTTGTTGCATTGGAAGAAGCTGTCCGTACTACCATGGCCTTAATATCCCACGATCTACCAGTAATTTCAATGGAGGAGTGGGATTTTTTAAAGGAATTAATTATTGTACTAAGACCTTTGGAAGAAATTACCAAAACAATGAGTGGCGAAAATTATTTAACAGGGTCTTTGGTTATTATTTTAACTGATGGATTGACCGATGTTTATCGAGACTTGTGTGACAAGCAGTTCAAGGATATGTCAAAATCTATAATAAAAGCTGTTTTGCATGGAATCATCACACGACTAGGGGATCTGGAAGGTAGTAATTCTTTGACGTTGACCACATTTTTAGATCCTCGTTTTAAAAATGTCGCATTTTCGAACGATAGTGTAACGGACCGAGTAAAGCATCTTTTAATATCATCTCTTACGGCGAATATAAAGAAAAATGCACCGCCTCTTATGAATGAAGAGAATAAGGACAATGGAAGAATAAATCCGGACGTAGAAGAAAAGAAAGAGCCCCAACCTTCTATATGAAAGAACTTTGACAAAAAAATTTCTACACTTCGGCCGACCGGTACTGTCTATTCAAGAGCAATTATCGAGGTCCAGCGATATTTAGAAGAACCCCCAATTCCAAGGACTGAAAATCCGTTATTATGGTGGAAAAATAATGTTTACAATTTTCCCTATTTAAGCCAAATAGAAAGAAAAATTTGTTTGTGTAATTACGTCTGTGCGGTGTGAAAGACTGTTTTCGAAATCTGGTTTAGTTCTGTGTGATCGAAGAAACCGATTAGGTGGTAGTAAAGTAAAACAAATTTTATTTCTAAATTCCAATAGAAACACGGCTTTTTAGTTAGATAAGCAGCTCTGTAAGCGATTTTTTTATAAAATAAAACTTTTCTTACTGATGTACCCGAATGATTTATTGATCTGAGGAGAGCAGGTGGCAAGTAGTCGTAAAAGAAATTCTAAAGATGTTAATTTGAAGTGTGCCGCTGTAATAAATAGGTATTGCAAGCCAGTGTCTATCGCTTGTGTACGCTTAAGCAACGCGCTCCACCCGTTCCACGTTCTAATGAAAAACGAATACGAGGTACGAAAGTGAGTTGCATGCGCCCCCACCAAACAATCTAATGCTACGACGTTACGTGGTAACCAGTTACTCGAGCCTGTCACGGAACGAGTAATCGGTTCCAGAAAAATACCGCTCCGAAATCGCGTTATAGAAATACCATCCCATCACTAAATTAGGGGCGGTGGCGGTATGGTCCCATTATCCACAATTGGGACGAGCGCAGGCGGTGGCCGTTTTGGACGCGATGCCAACCTCGGATCTTTTCTTGGCAATACCGTCACATCACTGATTACGTTCACTTTCTTTGGTGGCACACTTTTCGGTGGCGAAGGCACTTTCTTTTTCATGGATAGCGATAACTTAGGCATTTTCCGAGCAGTATCCATTTCGGAGTTCGCGTTGTAACTGACTAAATGCGCTCAAATGTTTCTAGTATTTATTATAAAACTGGTGTAAGGTTAAGATGTGTACTATATCCGATTTCAATGTATTGACCATTCAAGAGATCGTATGAGGTACAATCGATCGCTTTATTATGCATTTGATCTACTTGGGGAGGTGAAGGTGTAGCACTGTGACTACAACACCAACACGAACACGTAAGGTAGTTATTATTGCAGCTATTTTTAGAATCCATGTTCATAGGAACAGCACACCTTGAGGATCACGATGAAACTGAGGTATTTTTATGATGGACAGTATATTTATGAAATGAAAGACAATTTTCTATATCATGTTTATTTACATTTCTAATACACAAATATTTTATTTACATAAACTTTAAGTTACTCGTTTACCCTGCAGATTCAGCACTTGTTATGTATACCTTTGTATTGGCTAAGGAGTCTTTGAATGTTTGTAAACGATTATCCTCCTTAAAGTAGTTGTAGAAACGTAAGGGAAGCACAGATTTAAAGTTTCCAGTCTCCACGACTACCCGGTCTCCATATTTTGTGTTGATTGTATCGATGCCGATGATTCGATATTTCTCCCCCACCTCCAGGTCTTTTACATGTTTGAACGGCTTGCAGAAAGTGGTATTGTTCAGTGTATCAAGATCCATTTTAACCAGTTCGCGTACGCCTCCAAGAAGTTAGGAGTGGAATTTTTAAAAAATCAAAAATCCCTTCGTAGATCGTTAGTAAGTCGTTAGTAAGTATTTGTAACTCCAAAAATTTCGTTTGTAAATCACGTGGTTCAGAGATTTTCCTGTTTTAGAAATCCACTGCTGACTTCATCATACATCTCCCAAGCTGAATCATTTCTCCTGCATAAGCTGTAATAATGGCCAATTGACCCAGGACTATTTGTTAAGGGATGATGAAAGCATATGACAGACCTTAGAAGTAAGCATTTTCCTTTTATTCGATGATTGGTATGTCAGACAGTCGCACGTCGTCGATTTCTCCTGTATCTAAAAATATGAAGTTATGGAGCAACTGGAATGACAGTATGACGGGATTTGCACATATTCGGCACGGTACTTCAGCCGGGATGCAAGATAGAATAGCTTCTTCTAATCGGCTGAAATCTTTGGCCACATCAACGCTCGTGTTGACAGATTTTCTTTTGAAGTAATGGAAGAATGCGCACTTTAAACATGTGTACTCTTCTCTTGAACAATAAAAGTCGCCACAAATTTTTTGAAAAGCGTTGACGATATTGTCGTCACATTTTACTAGCGTTATTGCATCATTTGCTAATCGTGTATTCGGATACGAACCCCGTACAATCCTGATTCTTCTTTCATATAACGAAAGACATACACCAAACATAACAAGGCTTTTCATGAAGTTGTACGTATTGCCTGGATCTTCAGAGGAGTTAATAAACGCTTCATCGAACCCATGGTGGAAAGTGCAGCTATCGCAGTAAGCAGCAGCAAATGATTGGATTAGAGAATCAAACGGGCATGTGTTGGATAGTATTACGTAATCATCGTCGATTCTGGTAGGCTTCTTGTTATTAAGTAAATTTCCGTTTTGTAAAAGACCGATCTGCATTTTTCCCTTCTTCGAATGCATAATTTCAGGTGTCGGTGCCGCCGAAATGGGACGATTGAACGCCGCCGTTTGAACGCTGCCATTTGGACGCCGCCGTTTGGACGCAAGACGTTTGAACGCAAGGCTAGTTGAACGCAGGTACATTTGAACGCGGAAGTTAAGTAATGTACAAATAAAACGCAGTACTTATGTATTTTATTTTGACAATTCAACTCATGTATAAAAAATCGCATAAGCCGCAGTGCAATTGTCACTTTGACAGCGGCAAAAGTTACCTGCATCTTTTCCAGCGAAAAATGCACTAGTGGTTTTTTCACTTTCATTTTTTGATCAATTATCCCATTATCCATGCCCATACAAATTGTTTGACATTTATCAATAATTGATGAATTGGTAATTGATTGTCGAGAATGAATCGGTTTGGTGACTTTACGAACGATGAAATCGTTGAAAAAGTAAATACCTGTGTGCCTCCTAATACAGTGGCAACTCAAACATCAATTTGGCGACAGTTTTCTGCTTTTTGCGAAGCGAGGGGGTATACGTTTCAGCAAGATACTTCTCTTGTCGAATTGAATGCTATACTGGAAGATTG